TGGCAATGAGGGTTCCTTGCATGGCAGAGCCTTACTTGGCTCTGGTTGGCTTAACTCAGGGGACTAAGATGACAGTCAGCTGTCACTGGAATGCCCTGAACCACTGTCTCTTGAGTTTGTTGTCTATGTTAATGAGGCTAATGAAGTATATGCAGAGAAGAGTGGGCAAGTTGAAGTATGTTTCATTAGAGAAAAATTGAGAATTACTCTGTGTGTGTGTGTGTGTGTGTGTGTGTGTGTGTGTAGAGTGTGGTGTAATTGGAGATACCATCACACTGCCTTTAATGGAACTGGATGGAGAATTGTGTAATCTTTATTTAGGTTGGTCATTTGTTGAGCACAGCAAGAGCTGAACCAATGAGTATATCTTAGTTACTCGTCTGTTGCTATGAAGAGACTAGCCACGAGCACATCTTAGTTACTGCTCTGTTGCTATGACCAAGACAACTTAAAATTGAAAGCATTTAATCAGGGCCTTGCTTACAGTTTTCAAGGGTTAGTCCCTGACCATCATGGTGTAACTCACGGCGGTAGACAGGCAGGCATGGCTCTGGAGCTGTAGCTGAGAGTTACATCTTATCTACAAATCAAAGGCTGGTGGAGGCAGAGGGAGGAGGAGAGAGGTAGACATAGAGATAGATAGAGATAGATAGATAGATAGATAGATAGATAGAGAGATAGACACATAGATGAATGGATGGATGATAGATACATAGATGGTTAGATAGATTGATGGATAGATGGACAGACAGACAGAGAGATAGTGAAAGAAACTGGATCTGGTAGAGGTCTTTGAAACCTCAAAGCCCACTCCCAGTGACACACTTTCTCCAACAAGGCCACATTTCATGTTTTTTCCTTCCTACCCTGTCCACCAACTGGAAACCAAACATCCAGATATATGGACCATCAAGTGGTGTGGGAAGTCCTTCTGTATATGTGTTGCTTTTATTGTTTAACAAATAAAGAAGCTGCTTTGGCCTGTGATAGGGCAGAATAGAGCTAGGTTGTGGCGGGGGTGGGGGAACACTAAACTGAGTGCTGGGAGAAAAAAAGCAGAGTCAGAGAGAAGCCTTATAGCCCCCTGGAGACAGATGCTGGGGACAGAACTCTACCCAGTAAGCCACAGCCACATGGTAATACACAGATTAATGGGTTAAATTAAGATTTAAGAGTTAGCCAGTAATATGTTTAAGTGATTGGCTAAGCAGTGATTTAACTAATATAGTTTCTGTGTGATTATTTCTGGTCTAAGTGGCCAGGAACAAAGGAGTAGCTTCCCCCATCAATCAGGGGCCATTCTTCTTCAAATAGCCACAGAGGGACCCTTACCTCTTTCACACCCGCCCTGCATCAATAGGAAGGCAACATCATGCATTGTTCATTTAGGCAGGGAAGTGGTTATGAGTTGGGTCACGTTTATCCTCTCTCTCTCTCTCTCTCTCTCTCTCTCTTTCTCTCTCTCACTCTTTCTTTCTCAGTTCATTGCACTTGTTTCTCTGGCTGTTGATGGAGCTACATTCTTTTCTCATTTTTGGACTGCATGGTTACTTATGCTTACCTCACTTCCTATGGGTAGCTGATTTCCATGTCGCTGACACATGATATGTGTCATATGGGGGAGGAAAATCCAGAAAGAGACCATGTTCTCACCATGCCCTTGGAGGGCACAGCTCCATAGACTGAATATACTGCCCACAAGGCCTTGCCTCTTATAGGTCCTGCAAACTCTGTAGTTCAAGGTAGGGGCTAAGCCTTGAACATGCGCAACTTTGGAGGATACTTAAGATCTAAGCTATAATTTAGTTTGTGTCAACACAAAACAGGTACTGCTCCAAATAGAATAAGAGTTAGTTCCTTCGGCAACCACGGCCCGGAAACTTGAAGTCCCATCTCACCACGTAAGAAGCTGCAAAAACTTTCATAGTCTCAGAACCAAAGTCACCAGTAAATTAATGAGAAGGCAGGCCCACTGGTGCGGCCGTCAGGTGGGTTGGTCACAGGACAGCAGGGGTATCTCTGCTCTAGGTCTCGGAGTCTGTCTGATGACAATTTTAGCTTGAGGGTTATACAAGCTAGTGACCCACTAATTACTAACTAATACATTCTAAGGGTTTTGCATGATAGTCAAAAGGACCAGTCAAATGCAGCGACCAGTGATAAATGTCTACTAAAAGAGCTAAAGCCAGGCCGAGATAATTTGGCTCGTGATCTGCAATACTCCACTTCTCCACTATCCTGAGGTTCTAAGCAGCCAATTGATCTGCAGAATCTTTAACCTAGATACGGCTTTATTTCGGGAGATCTCGTCTCACATTTCCATAGTCAAACTCGCAGAGGATAAAGCAGACCAGAGGTTACCAGGGGATATAAAAGGGGGAGACATGGGACTTAGTTCCTAATGAGGTCAGAGTCTGAATCTGCAAGGCTAAGAAAGACAATGACAGTGGCTGCTGGAGTCTGGGCGTACTGACTGCCACTGCTATTTAAAGTGATAGCACGGTAAATCTAATACTATTTATGCATGCAATGCAAATGTGTGTTTTATAATGGGAAGCTATATCTCTTTCAGGCATCTGCGTTATCATTAAATATTAATGTCAACAAGGGAAAATAGATAATATCATTAATCTGTTATGAACTGCTTTCACAGTTCATCTTTCTGTGGTGATTTTTTTTAATCCTTGATCCATTGTCTCAGTGCCAGGATCTTTTAGAAGATTTAACACAGTGCACATGGACCTAGGGAGTGGCTGGGAGGGGCTTTGCTAGTCCTTCATTAAAAAAACTTGGTGGTCAGGAAGAAACTTTAGTGTGCTGCAGGTGGAAGCAGAAGGCCACCGAGCAATGGGAGAGGGCTGGTGTGAACTGCAGGGTGGGAGTGGGAGGCCACCGAGCAACGGGAGAGGGCTGGTGTGAACTGCAGGGTGGGAGTGGAAGGCCACCGAGCAACGGGAGAGGGCTGGTGTGAACTGCAGGGTGGGAGTGGAAGGCCACCGAGCAATGGAAGAGGGCTGGTGTGAACTGCAGGGTGGGAACATAAACACAACAGAGCAACAGGTGAATCCTGGTGCTACCATGCGCAGTATAACTTTAAAAAAAATAATTTATTTTTATTTATTTATGTGTGTGTGCTTTCTTATCTGTATGTACACCACATGTATGCAGATGCCCACAGAGGTCAGAAGAAGGCGTTAGAGTCCCTTCAACTGGAGTTACAGTCAAGTTACAGGTCACCAGATGAGAGTCCTGAGAATGAAATCAAGGGGGTCCTTTGTTAGAACAGCAGGTGCTCTTCACTGTTGAACCATCTTTCAGTCAGTGTGTGTGTGTGTGTGCATGTGTGTGTGTGCACATGCATGTGTGTGTGCGTGTGCACATGCATGTGTGTGTGCGTGTGCACATGCATGTGTGTGTGTGCTCACGCATGTGTGCATGTGTGTGTGTGCTCATGCATGTGTGCGTGCGTGTGTGTGTGTGTGTGTGTGTGCTTGTGTATGCATATGGAGGACGGAGATCATCTTCCATGGATGCTATATACCCCAGGATCTGTCCATTTTGTTTCTTCATGCCTTCTCCTTCTATCCCCTTCCCTTTTCTCCTGTCTCCTTCCTTGTCCTCTCCTGTTTCTGCTCTCCCTTCCCTCCTCCGCTTTGGGCTCCTATTCCCCCTCTCCTCCTCTGCTTTGGGCTCCTATTCCCCCATCCCTCCATGCTTGGGGTCAAACTCAGAAACTGTCACTTGCTAGAAGATGAGAACTCTGTCACTAAGTTAAAATCCCGATCACCTCAGCTCCTGGGTTTGCTTGTGTTGTCTTGAGACAGGGTCTCTCTGTGTAGCCCAGGTTAGCTTCTAACTCCCAATCCTGCCTCAGCATCCTAAGGCTGACATTACCAGTGAAGCAGATTTTACCTCCCTTCCTCTTTGAGGATGCATCTTCCACAAGTTTACTATTTTCATGGTACCGTGTTCTTATGGGCTCTTCTGTAGATCTGAGTCTCCAGACTGGAGGTGGTGAAGGGAGATGGCAGGAAGGACGCTCCTCTCATTGACATCTTGAGATGTGGTAGGGGGATGCTTGCTGTAGGGGTGAGACATTGTGTGTGTCTTTAAGACACTCTCTGTTCAGTAGATAGCCAACTTCTTTTTCATACACACACACACACACACATGCATGTACATGCACACACACAGAGACAGACACACACATACACACACACTACAAACACA